ACGCAACAGGCGGACGTCACGTTTGGAGCGGCGACACCCGAACGAAGCAGCGAGGAGCGAGCGAAGGCTGTGTTTAGGGACGTCACACAACCAACCTTTTATTTTGTTATTTCGAAACCGACCAACCAATTATTACGGCTTTATATTGTTTTTTCGACACCTAGACGAACCCAACAAAGCATAGAGGTCAGTTCTGCAACTTGAAACCTTTATAAATAGACTAAACATTGGATATAGAAAAGAAATTCGATGAAGCAATAGAGCGATTTTGAACACGCTTTTGCTGGGGACTGGTTGGATATTGAGCAAAGTACGGGTGATTTTAGGCGACTACTTATCCACCAGAAATCTTGAGTCTAATCTCTATCTAGAAAAGGCAGGTTGTGTGTGTGTGTGCGTGTGTGTATAACGAATGGACGGCCGCCATTTTCGACGGATTGGGACCAAAATTTACATGCACATGCTCCAAGTTATCGGGAACGCCAAGACCGACTTTGCATTTCCCAACTCCCATCGATAGTGGAAATAATCGATTTTTTTCATGCTTCTACGGCATTTTTCATGTAGTTTGCGGCCATTTTGTACTGGCCAGAGCGAGAACCAATAGCTGGCTGCCATGAATAGGCAGGAAGATTCTTTTGGCCAGCGTGAGAGCCAACAGCTGACTGACACGAATGTTAACTAGCATACTAGCATGCAAAAAATATCGATAGCTGCATTCGTCACAAGTGGGAAAAATTTAAATCTGCATTGCACTTTACTCCAATTGGCTCATTCGCTTGCTTAAACTCAACGTTGATTCTGATTCCGCAGAACTGGGTTGGGTGTGAAAAAGTATATGTTGTTAACATTCTTTTTTCATTCGATTTTTCCAGTTACGAGTCCTTTTTTAAAGCTGATCGTTTTGTGTTCATTTTGTTTAGTTCTTTTTTCGTAACAGATTTAATGTTTAGTATCGAGCTTAGAAAAACTTCGCAGTGTGAGATAGGCAAAAAGTAAGGCATGTAGCAACATCAGCACGGCAAAGGGCACTCCTTTAAAGACAAGGAAGGGCAAAGATATTTTAAGTCAAGTGATAGCGATTGCTGTATGAGTCGTACGATTTTTGAATCAAGCACGGGCAACGCCGGGCCATGCTGCTAGTAATAAATAAATAAAGTGTAATTTATAATAGTTTGAAGGAAAAAATATTATACAACGAGAAGATGAAAATAACATAGAAGGCAACAAATAACACTAATAATAATAATAATAAAGACCCAATTCCTATTGTAATGAATGAGTTAGGAACGCCACAAAGAAAAATGAAATGCGCTTAGGTAGAATTGTAAACATCCAGAAACCATTTACAGTTTAGGTTTCGGCCATATAACGTTGAAACACAGGCTCCCGTACGATTACGCTCTGTCCACGCTGGTCTGTTCGTAGATGAGTGATTGCTTGGGAAAACCAAGTGCTGTAAGATTGGATGTGCGGGTGGTGTAATGGATAGTGGATCGGCATTGTTAATCGGAGAGCCGAGTTCCAATTTCAGCTGAGTTTTGCTCATATTCACTTACGCGCAAATACCGATGGGAAAGGTATGAATCCACCTCTTTTCCCCTAGCTATGGGTTAATTAATAAGATTTTCATCACTAAATCATTATTATCATCCCGCTCTACAAAAAAAAAACTCTTACACTCTAAAAATATTTTCTGTCTTTAAATAACTTGTATTGTGTTGATAAGCCGTAAAAATCAAGCCAATCAATCAAACATCCAATCAATCTGCGAGGCTTCCCCAAATGGTTTTTGAATAGTGAGGAGTTGTTGACACCATGTCTATGTCAATGGGCGCTACCAACATAATAATAATAATAATAATAATAATAATAATAATAATAATAATAATAATAGTGAGAAGAAAAATTGTAGAAGAAGATGAAGGTAAACAAGAAGAGGCGGGGGAAGAATAATAATAATAATAATAATAATAATAATAAGGAAAGGAATATGTAAAAGAAGAAGACGAAGGTAGACAAGAAGAAGATGGCGAAAAAAGACAATAATAATAATAATAATAATAGTGAGAAGAAAAATAAGATGTAGAAGAAGAGGAGGAAGGTGACCAAGAAGAAGGCGAAGAAGGACAATAATAATAATAATAATAATAATTTCTGGCTGTATCATCTCACATCTACCCATAGATCTCTTGCAAAAACATTATCAACGCTTGTAAATAATCCCAATAAAATCCCGGAATGGATTACTGAAGGTATTACATACCTCATACCAAACACAACTGAAACAGACGACCCGAAAAAGTATAGACCGATAACATGTCTCTCCACAACGTATAAGTTGATCACGTCTGTACTGACGAACCGTACTTATTCCTTTCTCGAAACAAACAGCACTCTCCAGCTGGAACAGAAGGGATGCAGAAGAGGTTCATATGGCTGCAAAGATCAACTTCTGATAAATAAGATGATCCTGGAAAATTGTAGGAGACAACGCAGGAATCTAAGTGCAGCGTGGATTGATTATCGTAAAGCTTTTGATAGTGTTCCACATTCTTGGATCCTTAAGACTTTGGAAATGTACAAAGTCTCCCCTGTGGTATTAAATTTCCTTAAGCACAGCATGGGAATGTGGAACACCAAACTATACCTTAGTCACACCGGGGGCACTGCCATATCCAACCGTCTGAATATCCGACGTGGAATCTTTCAAGGAGACTCTCTGTCACCCCTTCTGTTTTGTTCATCCTTAATCCCTCTTACACATGAACTGAACAACAGTAGCTATGGTTACAAAGTAAATAAGAAAATATTTAATCACCTACTCTACATGGATGATCTCAAACTCTTTGCCAAAGACGACAATGAGTTGAAAGGCCTCCTCAATATTGTAAAATACTTCACTGACGACATAGGTATGGACTTCGGATTAGATAAATGTGCAAAAGTAACTTTCAAGAAAGGTAGAATTACAGAAACACCCTTAATAGATTTAGATTTTGTCACAAAGATTAGGGAACTGGAGCATGGTGAAGCTTATAAGTACCTAGGAATTAGCGAAGGAGATGGCATACAACACCCCAAATGAAGGAAAAAATAAGAAAAAGAGTACTACAGGCGTGTACGTCTGGTACTAAATACTGAGCTAAACTCAAAAAACAGGATATCAGCCATAAACACATTGGCTATCCCTGTGATGCAATACAGATTTAATGTCCTTAACTGGATTATAGCTGAAATTAAGTGAATGGACGCCAAAACGAGAAAGCTTCTCACTTGCTATCGCATGCATCATCCCAAAGCTGATGTCGATCGTCTGTATGTGCCCAGATCCGAAGGAGGCAGAGGATTAGTACAACTAGAACTGTCCTACAAAACTACAGCAATTGGCCTCCAAAGATATTTGGAAACTACAAAAGACTGGATGATGGTATGCGTCAAGGAACATGAAAGTAGTAAGCGTCTTTACTCCGTAATGAAAGAAGCCAACAAATTCAAAATGGAGTTTCAAATGGGCGTAGAGATGCAACTACAGCACAATACACCGGCTGAAACTGCAAAATACCTAAAAAGACAGCAAAGACGAATGCAACCGACCAGCTACAGAAGCGATGGCAAGATAAACCGCTTTATGGCCAATACTCTGCCATACCAAACAATCTGACGTAGACAAAACCCGTACCCATCAGTGGCTACGTAGTGCAGGGTTGAAAGCGGAAACTGAAGGTTTTATCCTTGCTGCGCAAGACCAATGCTTGCTAACTAGGAATTATCAAGCACATATACTAAAAATATTGTGTCAGCCCAAAATGCAGATTCTGTGATAAATATCCAGAAACGATTGATCATCTTGTATCAGGTTGTACGGTGTTGGCACCCACTGAATATAAAACCCGACATGACAGAGTGGGCCAATATCTGCATTGGAAAATCTGCAACTTCTACGGGAAAGAAACTGAAAGAAACTGGTATGAACACCACCCAGACCCGGTTACGGAGATAGGACCTGTTACAATTCTATGGGACTACACAATACACACTGACAGAACAATCAAGGCCAACCACTTGAATATTGTTATTAAAGACCACAAACAAAAAAAAGTGCCTCCTTATTGATATGGCAGTCCCTGCTGACTGCAATGTATTTTTGAAGATATTCAAAAAGTTGTCAAAGTACAAGGACCTTGAGATAGAAATCTCGAAAATGTGACACATGGGAACATCAACAATCCCTGTTGTAGTTGGAGCCCTAGGACTGGTTGAAAAAGACTGCAGTAGACTAATTAAAGGGATTCCTGGAAGTCCATGCCTCAAGGAGATACAAAAAATTGTTCTGACAAGTACAGCCCACACTTTACGAAGGGCTTTATCTATGTAATTTAATTTTTTTTTTTTTTTTTTTTTTTTTTTTTGTCAGTGGAAAATGTCATGACGCCATTTCTAACCTTAGGTACCTGGGCGGGACCCGGAAAGAAATGTGTAAACGCCAGAAATCAAAGAAAATAATAATAATAATAATAATAATAATAATAATAATAATAATAATAATAATGATATTAATAATAATAATAGTAGTAGTAGTAGTAACTTTAATTGTAGTAGTTGCAGTAATAAATAAAAAAAGGACAGTGAAATACGAAGAGAATTAAACCAAGAAGTTGTTGAAAAAAAAGAATATTCCATCATGATATTAATGATGGTAACAACTTGGGGAATAATAAGAACTTCAAAGAATGGCAAGTCTTCCTTCTCTTACCTGTCACCTTGATTTTTACTTTTACCTGTCAGAATCTCTTTTAAGGCAAAGTAATGTAATGTTTGAATATCGTTCTTGGATTACGAATTCCGCTTAAAAAATAAATATCCCAATTTTTCTCATATCCCCCGGCAAGCCTCTTTTATACATTTGTTTTTCGTTATTTTTTTTTTCACATATATAGAAGCCCATATGTCGATTATAAAAAGAAGAAAGAACATATTTTTTTTTTTTAGAAAGAGAGATGCATTCTCCTAAACGAACCTTTTTACGAAATTCCCAGTCAAATATTTCTCGTAAACCTGAACTTCAAATCAAGTAAATTCTTTTTCGGCATAACATCACGAATATTCGTTTAGCTGACTTCTCCGAAGGAACGCCATTAACTGGAACCATTTCCGTATTTACGAAAGAATGAGGGACGCAAACAATGATATTGCTTTAAAAGCAGCCGACATTTTTGCTTCGTTTATCCCGAGGCAAAACAAAAATAATTTGTTTATTTCTTTTAATACTTGAAAAACCAAACGAAGGCGGATGACCATAAACAATATAGCAATTCTAAAAATATATAAATTATACATTTTAAAAAATATTTTGTCTATATGTTCGTGTGGTGTTTAAAATGAATATTCATAAAAGGGACTTTTTGCCCTTAAAAAAAAAAACAAAAAAACGTTATTATTCCTGACCATTGAAAATACATTTTCCTGCTTTTGAATCAACTATAATAAAATAATTCACTGAAAAATATCATTACCAATACAATATATATATATATATATATAAAATATAAATATATATATATATATATATATATATATATATATATATATATATATATATATATATATATATATATATATATATATATATATATATATATGATATATATATCATATATATCATATATATATATATATATATCAAGATAACTTTTTTTCTAATATTTCAAAAACCGTCCAATCAATTCACACAAAATTTTCACACAATGTTGGCAACATTGACCTGCGAGATCACTGAAATTTTCGTACTGATCTGCGCAATGTAGACAAACTGGCGCCATATTTGTTATCAGCACGGTGATTTGAGAGTGCCAAATTATTAGTAATTCATTTGCCTTTCTCAGGCACTCCCTGGTCCATTCTTTCGCATCCTCTTTTTTGAAAGAACCTCTTTTAATTTTATGATGAATTAATCCATTATTACTAATACATCCAATAACATGGATGTTATTTCCCCTGGATCCGGCCGCGACTGTAGTGCACCTCGTGCCTTTTTTTTAGAGCGACCTTCTCTTCTTGAAATATAGAGATTAAAATTGGTTTCATCCATATAAAGAATTGGCACACTTTGGGACTGAAATTCTAATAAAGCTACTGCATAATCCTTACGTTTCACCTTATTGACATTATTATTGGCAGCTTCTGGTTCATAATGAACCGCTTTTAAAGTAAAGGCCATGGAGTCCAAGTGCTTTCTTATGCATTCTTTCGTCACACGAACCTTATACTTTTCGACCAACTTATTTACAATGTCTTGAAGAGTGACCCTAGGAGAGTTTTCAATAAATTCGACCATAAAATTCTTATATTTTCTTGCTCCTCCCCTAGAGTCACTCTTATCAGCACCCTGGTCTAACCAACGGTACACTGTTGGCAGAGGCACACCAATTGTTCTTGCCAGGTCTTTCCAATTTCCTGCTGTGGCATGTGCAGCTAAAATCTGGGACTTTTTATGCCAGCCACAGTTTTCTTGAGGTAAGTCTTCTTTGGAGCTGTTTCTAATTCTTCTTCAGCTTCTTTTGTAGAGGTTTCTACAGCATCATCATCAATCATCATTTTTGCTCATATGGGACTTTCTCTTACTTTTACTGTAGGCTCGCCCAATGCTTTCTTTGCCTCTAAGTTGTTTGTATTTTGGTTTTTTCTTCATCTATATAATGAAGACAAACAGTCAATTTCCTTAATAATGGGGTAAATTAATTAAAAAAATAATTTTCAATTTACCAAAAAAAAGTTGATTGTTTTTAGGTTTTTGACATTTTCTCAATTTCAAGTTGATTAAACCATTTTGAAGTTGATTGATCCATTTTGAAGTTGATTGATCTAATTTAAAGTTGATTAATCCATTCTGATATTGACTGATTCAATTTGAAGTTGATTAATCCATTTTGAAGTTGATTGATCCATTTTGGAGTTGATTGATCCAATTTGAAGTTGATTAATCCAATTTGAAGTTGATTGATCCATTTTGAAGTTGATTAATTCATTTTGGAGTTGATTAATCCATTTTGGAGTTGATTAATTTTTTTACTTGAAAATAAGTCCATTTATTATCATTTTGAAGTTGAAAAGGTATAGAATTTTGCGGTGGTGCGTTGATTGATTACTGCCGTATCTATAATTATATAGATCTTTGCTATATGGTTTGTAATAACCATTATTCAAGTCTAAGGTGACATCGAGAAAGTTGATCACTTTAGCATTGGTGGTGGTGGTGGTGGTAATATTTAGTTCGTGATCTTTAAAATTTTTATCAGTTCCGTTCTCAATCGGTCTCTACTTCGTGGACTTGTTTTACGGAGGAGAATTACACCATTGTCACTATAGAGTCCAATGTCCTTAATGACGAAAATAAATGTAATCTAATTCGCGTACCCCTGCTGAATCAAATGTTCCCATTGCAATTTTAAATTCTGGGTTATTTCTTTTTTACCACAGATAATCATTATGGAATAGTATAGGTTTTTATGACATTTATTTCGCAATCGCTAATACGACAGTCATTTTTTGCTTGATTTACAGCAGCCATTAGCAGTTTCTCGGTGATGTACGGGTAAAAGTCACAAATAACGAATTGGATGAATGTACATTCTTTAGTGCTTTTTTTTTACAGGTTGTTTTAATAAATTGGACCGATTTTAAATGTGTATTAAGTTTAAGCGTCTATTTTTTTTTTTTTTTCAGATTTAACAACTTAATTCTTTGGCAATTTCAACCATGGAAAGATTAACAATCAAACAACGTGTTACAGTTTTTGAAGCCTATTACGAAAATGGACTTTGGTGATTATGGCTCTCCACAATTTCCGGTCCTTTGTAAAGAATGTTCCAATAGATTGGATCGGTTTTAAATGTGAATTAAGTTTAAGCGTCTAATTTTTTTTTTTCTTTCAGATTTAACAACTTAAGTCTTTGGCAATTTCAACCATGGAAAGATTAACAATCAAACAACGTGTTAAAGTTATCGAAAATGGACGTCCGTTCAAATTTATAAATAAACGGCCCAATGATTCCGTTAGTAAAAACATGCATACCAAACAGTCACCTTTTGTGGATGCAATGGCTTTTCAACAATCTTCCTTGGATTTTTATCAGCCCAAATGCAATAATTCTGCTTATTAACAAATCCACCAAGATGAAAATGGGCTTCATCACTAAAGAGGATTTTTCGCGAAAAATCCTCATCGGCTTGTCTTTGCCCAAGCACCCAATTGACAAATGTACGGCGCCCCAAATGGCCAGCAGGTTTCAGTTCTTGTGTCTGTTGAATTTTGGAAGCGTGTAGAGAGAAATCTTTTGTCAAAATTCGATGTGACATTGATGTGAAGAGGTTCAATTCCTGTGCGCGATGACGAATAGATTCTGGATTTTCGACCACATTCTCGTGCAAAAACGTTTTTTACTCACCCGAGGTAGGTCGAAGGGTACAACGGTCGAAACGTCGCGATAAAAACAACAAAGGTGAGGACAATAGTCCGCATATAAATAATGTAAATAATGATATCTTCTCATCAAGAAATTCAGAAAAAAAAACGAAAAGTATACCTACAATCCAAAAGAAACGGAACAAACACATAATGAGAAAAGAATACTGTAATATCTAATTTCCTATATGACAGCGAATAGAAGGAGTTACTCAAAGTGAACGCTTGAGCACCTCGGTTTGGTGTAATGGTCAGCAAGCTTGGCTTTCTAGATCAGTTACTACTGAAAAGTGAGTTCGATCATCACTGGATGCCCCATACTTTTGGCCTTGTGCCACATCTAAGCCACGCTTGGAAAATCTCTACTCAAAGAGAAAGTTATAAGATTAATTGGTTTGTTTTTCACGGCTTACCAACAGTTTGCAGGTCATATATATCAGTAAACTATAATATATCATTAGGAATTTTGTACCTCTGGTTAATTCATGGAGTATTTTTCGTGTATTTGAAAGCTCTTTCAATTAGGCTTTGGCTGTATTTACATTCGTCGGACTATTGTCCTCATCTTTGTCGCCATATTTGTCACAACGTTTTTCGATCACTGGGGTAGACTGTACGCTCTTTGATGGATGCCTTCTTCAATTTGGTTGAAATTTCCTGCTGAACCCTTTCTTTCGATCACACATGGGGGGATAAAGGTTTGGTTCCACGTGGGCCAAGGTGATGGATGTCAGTTATCTCCTGGAGAATTTTCCCTCTGAAAATTTCTGAGATAACTGATAACTGACATCCATCAAACATGGCACGTGGAACTAGAAACAGTCTACCCCAGTGATCGAAATAAAGGGTTCAGTTCAAATTCCAACCAAGGCGAAGAAGGCCGGAGCGTACAACGGCCGAAAAACGTTGTGACAAATGTGGCGACAAAGATGAGGAAAATAGTCTGGTAAATAATGTACATCCTAATCTCAGAAATATAGACAGATACTGAAGGGCCGAAACGTTGTAATAAATATGGCGACAAAGATGAGGACAATAGTCCTAATGTAAATAATGTACATACCTAATCTCAGAAATATAGACAGATACTGAAGGGCCGAAACGTTGTAATAAATATGGTAACAAAGATGATGACAAAGTCTGAATAATGTAAATAATGTACATACCTAATCTCAGAAATATAGACAGATACTGAAATGCCGAAACGTTGTAATAAATATGGCGACAAAGATGAGGACAATAGTCCGAATAATGTAAATAATGTACATACCTAATCTCAAAAATATAGACAGATACTGAAGGGCCGAAACGTTGTAATAAATATGGTAACAAAGATGATGACAATAGTCTGAATAATGTAAATAATGTACATACCTAATCTCAGAAATATAGACAGATACTGAAATGCCGAAACGTTGCGTAAATATGGCGACAAAGATGAGGACAATAGTCCGAATAATGTAAATAATGTACATACCTAATCTCAAAATATAGACAGATACTGAAGGGCCGAAACGTTGTAATAAATATGGTAACAAAGATGATGACAATAGTCTGAATAATAATGTACATACCTAATCTCAGAAATATAGACAGATACTGAAATGCCGAAACGTTGTAATAAATATGGCGACAAAGATGAGGACAATAGTCCGAATAATGTAAATAATGTACATA